GAGCAGCCCTAAGCTGTTTGACATTTTCGCTGAAACGCTCTGTTGGCTGCTCCTAAACATTGTTCGGTGTCCATCTCTTATCCACTATTTGGATGATTTTTTGTTGGTAGAACCGGGGTCACACACACCAAGTAGCATTCACCACCACAGCTCTCTTCATTACACTAGTGGTACCCCTGTCACCAAGTAAAACGCTTGGACCCTCTACCAAGCTGGTTTTCTTGGGCATCGTTTTGGACACAGTATCCTTCCAAGCCAGCCTACCACCCAAGAAATTGACCCGCATTAGGGACGAAATCAGTCTGTTTCTGAGGAGTGATACATGCACAAGGAAGGGACTCCAGTCCTTCTTGGGGTCCCTTAACTTCAGGATGCGGATCAGTCCGCAGGGCAGATCATTCGTCTAAAGGCTACTGTGTTTACTCTATGGGTTGCACAATTACTTTGGATGGTCCCACCAGAGCTGATCTGCATATGTGGTATAACTTCTTGGCCGCATTAAATGGAGTCTCTGTTCATACCTCCACTATCCGAGCTTTCACCTACTATTTACACAGACATAGCAGCACACACCGGATTTGCTACCATTTTTGGCAACCACTGGTTTAGGGATAACTGGCCAACTGAGATGGATGCCTTGCCGGCCTTTAGAGAAACATCCTCATTGTTCGAGATTTACCCCATAGTGGTGGCCTTCCATACATGGGGTCATCTTAGGACCGGCAAGGCAGTAATATGCTACTCGGACAATTCAGCAGCCTGCGAAATTATAAACAAGGGGCGGTCCTCCTCTCTTACCATTATGAGGCTGGTACGCAAGCTGACTTGGCTGGCAGCAACCACTTAGTTTCACCTAGTATGCATTCACATTCCTGTTATGCGTAACACAGCTGCTGATGCTCTTTACCGGTCTCATTTTCAGGTATTCTTCCAGGCACTTCCCACGGCCCACCACCTACCATCCAGGATACCACCTTTTCACAAGCTAATCATGGACTAACTGAGCTACTACGTCACGCTCAGGCACTCACGCACCACGCACTCTCACCCAACACCACTACCACTTACGCTAGGGCACTGACCATTTTCAATAAGTTCACTGCAGAGTTTCACTTGCAAGGAGACTTATCCATTAAAACCATGGTGGCTTTTGCCTCCTTCTGTCACCTACACCTCAAATTATCCCATAACACCATTAAGCTTTACCCCACAGGGGTACAACACCACGTCCTCACTAACTTTCCTAATCATGCACCTTTCTTAGCATCATACCCTATTAAGAACATCCTTAAAGGTATTCACAAGGTTACAGTTCCCCTGTCACTACCAGATTGCCAATAGATGGTCCTATTTTCAGACTACTTAGCAACCTAAAACAAATCTGTTCGACTATCACACTAACCTGGTTATAAAGGAAGCTATCTTTATTGCGTTCTTTGGCTTCCTTAGAGCTAGGGAGTTCACAATCATACACCAAGTAGATACTACATCAAGCCTTAAACTATTTAATCTAAAGAAGTACCACTATGTACTTTCATTGCCTTCCACAAAGACTAACCACACCAATCATCCCACTATCATTCCTCTCTTTCCTACTGAGAATGCCTGGTGTCCAGTCAAAGTACTTGACATTTTTCTTGTATCTCACCACGAACACTCACAGGACACTCCACTATTACTACTCTAAGGGCACCCACTCACTACAGCTAAATTCACATCTCACGTCAGGACTCTACTGTCAAGGTTGGGCTACAACCCGGCTTCCTTCTCCGGTCACTCCTTCTCAGCACTCATGGTCTTCTTACAGTGTAGGGATCACCCTGGACAATTTCATTTAATAAAGAAATATAAGAAGACTGTGAGTGCAGCCCTACTTTCCATTTGAATTGTAGGCACATTTTTTACCTCTGGGACTGGCACCCGGCTACATATAATACATTTTGAGCCTTTTACAATAGTTAATAGTTTAGTGAATAAGCGAGTGCGCTGGATTGTGTATTTTGTATATTTTGGCCCCAGCAGCACCCTATAATGTATGCATGTTCAGGTGAGTGCAGCCCTCTTGGTTTCATTTAAATATTTGGGAGTCCCAGGCCAACTCCTTGGTTTTGCACCCCTCCCTGTCACAGGTGCCTCATTCCAGGACCCTATTTAGACTTGACTTGCAGAGAGTCCCAGAAGGAAGTATTTCCCAAGTAAGTGGATTAATCGCATAAGAGAAAGCATTAGGCTGCCACAGTAGGACCTGCCAAGAATGGGGTACATTGACGGTATGGCAGTATTATGCAATATATGATCATATAATGTAACTAAACACCCATTATTTTTTTCCTAGGTGAGGTGTTTTTAAAGAAAACTATTACAATCTCTAAGATTTGAAATAATTGTTTAGTGAATAAGCGAGTGCGCTGGATTCTGTATTTTGTATACATATATATATACACACACACAGTCCATCTGACATTTTACTCTGGATTGTCCAAGTTTAACTTATTCCTGACAAGGAGATAGTGAATCCGTATCTATTATGAGAGTGTTAACACGCCCTCTTTCTTTCCAGGAATTTATGTCTAGGGGGATTCCAAATATAGCCTGTACTCTGGGCTTTACAACAGTCAGCAGGGACCCAACTTTGGGTGCGACCGTGGCTATCAAGATCTGTTCCAGCATTGTGATATCTTTCCCATAAATCCATAGAAAAAAAAAATCTGTTCTAACTACAATACATTAATAAATATGTAATAATAACCCTACTAACTAGGAATATCCCGATGTTTCCTTAATAGGAAATGAGATGAAAGGTTAAATTAAAAAGGCAGGAAATATCCCGCACTGTGTTTGGTCCTTATCTGACTTTCAGTAACATTTTGTCACCCCAATAATTCTGCTTTGTTAACAGTTTCCTTAAATGTTAATTGTGTGTGTAAATCAAATCTCTCCATTGCAGATGCATATTAAATGCTCTGAGTCTTGGCACTATTTTCAGAAACGGCTATTAGAAAATGACTTTAAGCTTTTTTGGCAGGTGAGCAGCGTCATGACGTCACACATGCCGTGAGAGGCGGGGTATGTCTGATGGGCGCAAACATTTTTAGAGCGGGAGCATACGAGTAGAGACGCGACGTAAAAAATACACACAAATTTTTTTTCACTGAAAGTCAAGAACAAATGAAAAAGTAATAAAAGCAAACAAAGACTTAAAGTGTAAACCAAGATAAAAAAGAAAGAAGGAAGGAAAAGGGGAACGAGAGGGGGAAAAGGAAGGAAAGAAAGAAAGATAGAGGTCAAGAAACAGGGAAGGAAAAGGAAAAAAATGGATTATGGGGAAGAGTATATTACATATCTCAGTCCGTACTGGTACACTACTCTTTGCCTATTCATATTAGTTTCTTATTTGGGGTTACCCCTGTTTTCTAGAGTACCATCTCAGTTCTTCTTCTTAGAATCACTAGAAGATCAAGCAAGAAGAAATAATAACACTTTAAAAATATCTCAGAAGAAATCAGCCCTGAACAACTGAGAGTGTTCTTATCTGACTTTTTTAAGGAACCAGGGGTTGAAGATCAAGAAATTCCAAATTCAACTATGGAACGAGTACACCGTTTACCAAAACCAAGTTCAATGAAAAATACCACACCAAGAGATGTCACCGCCAGCTTCCAGTCTTACCTATTTAAAGAAAACATCTTAAAGGTGATAAAAGGAAAAACCCTGAAGAATGAAAAATTCAAATATGTGCTGATCTTCCCTGATCTTTCATACCAGACAAGAATACGCCGAAAAACTTTTACAGATGCTCTGCAGATATTAAAACATAAGAATGCCAGATATAATTAATAATAATCTATTAATATATTTTGGGAAGGCACAACATTTACATTCCAGACCCCTGAAGCCTTGAAATCTTGGTCTAAAGAGACTTTATCTAATTGAAGCATATGGAAAAGGTTTATTACTTTTTCAGAAATTTTATTTATTTATTTTTTTAAGGGGGGCAAAAAGAAAAAGAAGAGAAAAGAAAGTTGTTGTTTTTTTATAACTGTCAAGATAAAGACAGTAATATAGTATTAAGGGTAAAATAATAGGTTTCACCTCCTTTACACTGTAAACAATCTAGTTATTACACAAACACCATTATAAGAAATCAATGCAATTATATAACAGATGATATAGCACTGATATTAATACTTATTACAAAAGGCACAGATACAATAGGTGTTCACAATAATATTTTTTTTTGGGGGGGGGGTGTTTATAATGTGATTTTTTAGTATAACACTAATATGGCATTACTTGAAACTATAAAGGACTACTGTAATACGGTAATAGAAAGATATTTAAAAGGTGGCATATAAAAAGAGGGTATTTATTTGAGGAGGTAATAAGGGAAGAGAAAGAAAAAAAAGAGAAAAAAGATAAAAAGGTAAAAAAACACACAGTAGGGGGCGGGGCGGGGCCTGGTTGCCAACCGAGATGGCCGCATGCAGAGTGTGCTCTGTGTAAAACACTCCAGCAGAGCCCTAATTCAGAACCCTTACATTAGCAAACTCGACTACCTGAAAGCAGGCAAAAGCAGACTTTACTTCTGCAACACCTGAAAGACTCCTGGACACAAAATGAGCAGCCTGTTCTCGGCACACAACTGCGGCCTACATGGGGGTGCTGGCGTGGAAGAAGCGGGCGATCTTCCTGCTGGCTATCCGACTGCTAAAGGTGGACGCGACATGGGCTCCCGTTTCCCCCCCCTTGCCGGTGGGGGTTATCCCGGCACCAGCACTCACACCGCAATCACGACCACCCGGTGGCCCTGCGACACAGCACATGTCCCTGCTGGAAGAATCGGCGGAAGCCAAGATGGCGCAAGACCCCACAACTTGCCACAAGGCCCGAGGGAAACGACTCTCGCTAAGCTGCATGCACTACTCACAGAATTTTGGCGCAAGCTCGAAGAGAGGCAACAGAGTGCCAGCAAGCTAGACCACTCACCTCTGGCTGCTGACATGAAGAGCCGAAACCAGCCCGCATCTAAAGCACCGGAGGCTCACAGACAGGAAGCCTCCACCCGACGACCACACGCCGCGTGGGTCTGCTGCTCCTCCGTAGCTACACATTCACTCACTCGCACTAAGAAGAGGAGGACAGTCCGTAGGAGGAGTGCAGTTCCAGCAAAGCCAACTCACCGGCAATGCCTCATCAAGCTACAAGCCACCAGGCGAACCACCGCCGCAACGCAGAAAGTGAGGAAGCTGGCTGGATGCCACCAACTCGCTGTGGCTGAGCCCTACTGCCATCGGCCACCTCGCACCCTTTGAGAGATCCTGCACATCACAAAGAGAGGCACCAAGGAACAGGGTCGCTGTCCCAGGTGATGATTGACGCTACTCCCCAAGACTGCACCTACCTGAGTTCACCAGGGACGGACAAGGTCCTGTACCTACCCTGCCTTACTGGACACTCCACTGGTTGGGACTGTAGATAGCCACTGAGGGGCATCGGGTAGTTGTAAACGTAGGGCTATATCCTGCCACAGGCCTCCCACCACATTAGGCCACACACAGCAGTACTTACCCTGACTAGCTTACAATGGCTTCACCATAGCTTGATACTTAACACCTCTGGCTGAACAGGCACCCTGTACCGTTATTATGCTCCAATGTTCCATATTGTTTTAACTTACTTATTTTGCTAACCGTAAGGAATCGCGTTCTCCCATCATCACAGGTAGCCAAGGCTGTAGGAGGGGTGACAGGGGCCAGTGGCAAATATATGCGGTGTGTAACCCCAGCATGTTAAAATATGTATCTTAGTCAGATCTTCTATTCAGATCCGCAGTTTAGCTTGCTGTATAAACTATTAAAAATGTGCACAATCCTCAAATGTTATGACACAACATCTCGATGTATGTTCAAGGAATGATTATTGCTGCCGTCAGGGCATTTCAAATCTGTATGTTAATCTTTGCACAATAAAAATAAAGAATAAAAAAAAAAAAAAGTAATTTAAAATTGTGTCCATGATTGTTAGTATTTATAAATATTGGAGCAAGATACTGATATAATTTTTTTTCTTCTCTCTTTGACTATCCATATGTATATTAGAAAAGTATAAACATTTTTTTAACAGTTCTCCCCCCAAATTGCAGTTTACCCCTGCTGTAGGTTCTTTGAACTTAGTAGTTTGCCCTTAGACCTAGTTTAGTCGAGGGAATAAGGCATCAGGGGGTGACAACCATAACGGTTGTCAAGGTCCCGGCGGCCCTGGAGGGCCTGGCTGTCTGGGCCCGACGTGTAGCGGCGGAACTGCCGCCGGTGCACTTGCACCGGGGCACGCACGGTGATGGGGCCCATCGGGTGGCCCATGCTCTTATGGGCCCTGTATCTTCAGGGGCCCGGTTGCGCTCTACCACGGCCAAAGCCTTGACCCTTTAAAAAAAAAAAAAAAAGCAGCCGTAGCAAGTGCTGCTGGGAGGAAGTGGTCACTTCCTCCCAGCTCACTTCACGCGGGAGGAGCGCGCGGCCAGCAGTGAAGAGGGAGGGCCATCCAACTGCTCCCATCAGCCCCAGCCACCCTCCTGCAATGAAAAGCGACAGGAGGGTGGCTGGTATATGAGCTGTGTGTGTGTGTCTGTATGTATGTATGTATGTCTATGTATGTCTGTGTGTATGTCTGTATGTATGTCTGTATGTATGTATGTATGTGTATGTCTGTATGTATGTCTATGTATGTCTGTATGTATGTCTGTATGTCTGTATGTATGTCTATGTATGTCTGTATGTATGCATGTATGTCTGTATGCATGTCTATGTATGTCTGTATGTATCAATGTATGTCTGTCAGTATGTATGTATATATGTCTGTATGTCTGTATGCCAGTATCAATGTATGTCTGTATGTCATTATGTATGCCTGTATGTATGTCTGTCAGTATGTATGCATGTATGTATGTATGCATGTATGTATATATGAATGTATGTATGTATGTATGCCAGTATCAATGTATGTCTGTATGTATATATGTATGTCTGTATGTCAGTATGAATGTATGTCTGCATATCATTATGAACGTATGTCTGTGTGTATTGATGTCTGTCAGTCTGAATGTATGTATGTCTGTATGCCATTATGAATGTATGTCTGTGTATGTCTGTATGCCATTATGAATGTATGTGTGTCTGTCAGTATGTCTGTATGTATGAATGTATGTATGTCTGTATGTGTGTATGTATGTCGGTGTCTGTATGTATGTCAGTGTGTATGTTTGTGTCTTTATGTCCTCAAGCATGTGTGTCTGTATGTATGTTATTATGTGTCTGTCTGTCACTATGTATGCCTGTGCCTGTATATGTGTGTATGTCTCAGTATGTGTGTGTCAGTATGTATGCCTGTATGCGTGTATGTCTGTTTCCGTATGTGTGTCTGTTAGTATGTATCTGTGTCCTTTTGTATCAGTGTGTGTGTTTGTGTCTTTGTGTGTATTCCTGTGGGCGGTATTTGGAGGCAGACCCTATGGGTGGTATTTGGAGGCGGGCCCCAGGGGGCCCAGACCCTGATCTGAGTTAGGGGCCCCAAAACCTCTGGTGGTGGCCCTGGAAGAAGGTCTCACCTATAACCTCTGTTTAGAGGTACAGATTGTGGGATGTCTATCTTGAGGTTCAAGAACGCATCCTCATATGTGGTGTTTATTTATATGTTTGTATGTATGTTAGGCTTTGTAGCTGCCAGCACAGGACGAGGAATGGGGTTATTTTTTTCTTTTTTGATTGGAGGGCCTGGTTAAATTCTTTTTTTTTTTTTTGTAGTGCATAGATGAGACACAAACAAGCGAGAGGTGCCCCAAAGGCAGTCCTCCTGCTTTTTCCCACGCCGAACATGCGGGGCACAAGAGTAACATGCACAATTTAACATTTTAAACAGGTTTAAGCGTACGAATAACGTAGTAGATTGTAAATATGGTCTAAGAGTATAAGCAGTTTCAGCATCGTAGTTTGGACTGTACGTAAACACCTATACTACATACATGCTCGGTCAGAGCATGGTTTCTCACGATTAATACGGGCATACACCTACAGGTATACAGCGTTAGTCAGATAGACAGGCTCTTGCTATTGATTTAATAGTATGGTCTTATGTGGCATAGCAAACCATTATGCTAGTGTAGTTATGTCTGTAGAATGATATTGCAACACACTCAACATGCATTATACGTTTTCCATGGAAGGACCTATTGGCTCTTTGTTATGCTATCTGCATCTATCAAGGGTTAAGTGGACGTATATAGCCCTGTGCATAATATTAAGACATAAAGATACCATCAGAGCCTGCTGGGATCAGTGTTATGAGAGATGTGTTTTGAGAAGCACAGAGGAGCTTAACCAGGGCAGCAGGAAACATGGGAATGCTTCTTGTAAGGTGGAATAAAGTAATACCAGATGGCTACTGGGTCAGTCCTTCGGTTGAGATCTTGTAAAGTCCTGATATTCACCTTGGACTGTGCGTTTGAGGACCTGCGTGGGTTTGTTTAGTCCATACCCAGTGCTGAAGGATGCAGGGAAAGAATTGTTGCATTGTGCCTCACAGAAAAGGCCTGGGTGCTGGTGCAGCCATTGTAGTCGTCCTCTGGGCAGATAAAATGGGCCCCAGGAGAGTGATGACGTCCTCCACAGGCGCGAAGGTTTTTTGGTTTGTTTCTTTCTCCCACCCGATATATGTGTGGTTAGCATCCCCTTAGTCTGCTCAATGTAGTCCGCCAGTGCATCCCCGGGGCAGGTTGCTGTGATGATCCGATGGCGTTGGATGGTTTCTCCTGCGGTAGGTTGCACATGTGGCTGGCGTGTGGCGGCCATCTTGGGGAATGTTGCCAGAGAGTGTTCCATAGCAGGGTGGTAGTTTTCGGTCCCGCGTGGCGTGACAGTAGTTGCATGTGTGTGTGCAGACCGGGATGACCCCCCCGGTCTGGGGGGGGGGGACGCCAGACACCGGCCGGAGACCCGGGAGAGCGGCCGTCTCGTCCCGGCTCAAGCTCCTGCACGCCTCGGGCCTTCATCGGGTTACTGTAGGCGTCTTGTAGGGTATCCCCTCATACCCCAGGATCTGGGGATCAGTGTGATATTTGTTGCGGGTGGCTAGGAAGGTTTTGCCTCCAGTTTGCGCCGTTTTCCCGGCCCCAAAGTGGGAGCTCAGACAGAGTGCGTCTGATCCCGTTGGCGGTCCGGCCCCGCCCCCCCCCCGGTTAAATTCTTAAATGTGAATGTACAGGGACTTAATTCTAATTTTAAGTGACAAATGGTGCTAAAAACAATAAAAAGAAAGAGACTATAGATGTATTAATGGTTCAAGAAACCCATTGGAGAGTTAAAGATGAACAAAATGGAAGAAATTGTGTCCCTGATGATCATGTAGATAGAAAAACTAATACTTCCGGTGTTATTGATAAAAATCCTATTAAACAATCAAAAGAATTAAATAAATGTATAACTGAAGCGAATCTGGAAGATATTTGGAGGGTTTACCACACGAGTGAAAAAGAATACACACATTTTTCTAAAGTTCATTTATCTTTTTTCTCGAATTGATCTTTTTTTGGGAGATATGTCCATTATTAGTAATACCAAAAAAATATATATAAAGGACAACGTGTGGCCAGACCATAGTCTAGTAATTTTGGAATTAAAGGATGCTCTAAAATCACCAGTTTAAACTACATGGCGTTTAGATGATTACATTTTTAAGAACCAACTAAATCAAGAATATATACATAACATAAAATTAGTTTTCAAGAAAACTCCACAGAACAGACACCACAGTTTGGTGTGCATTAAAATCAGTCGATAGAGGTCATTTTATTAAACTTAAATCTAACCTTATTAAAGCAAGAGGCGCTTACTTATCGGAGCTATATATAATTTAATACTCTTTCTCAAAAATTAAAAATAACTTAATTGCAACTCAAACGAATCTTGAAGAAATCACAAGTAAAATTGAACACATAGAATTAGTAATCACCAATAAAAATTTGGATCGCCTTAAAATGAAATTTTACCATAAGGGTAACAGGGCGGATACAATTTTAACAAATAAATTTAAAAAAAATACTCTAAAGGAATGAATTACATCAATAAAAGTTAAAGACCAAGTATTTATGACCCTTAACGATATAGCCAATGCTGTTGAATTTTATAAACAACTCACAAAAGAAGACATTAATAACTATTTGAAAAATATAAATGCATCCTCAATTTCAATTGAAAAAATTAATAGACTAAATCAACCCATAGGAATAGTAGAGGTAGAAAGAGCAATTGAAAAATTAGCA